CAGCTCAGCGCGGCCGCTGCGCTCGCGCCGCTCACCTGGATCGCCGTGGCGCTGCTGGGCGGCTCCTTCTACCAGTGCGCCGCCAGCGGCAGCGCCTGGATCGCGCAGCGCCTGTGCGCGAACCTCAGCGCCACCTGCGCGGAGCAGCTGCCGCTGGTACCCTGCAGCCAGGACGACGCCGCGAAGCTGAGCCTCCAGAGACAGCTCAGGGCGCAATCTCAGGTCGGGCGCTGGCTGCGCGGAGGGGAGGAGCAGGTGCGGGCGGGGGTGGGGGCGTTATGGTGGGACTGAAGTGCCTTCGGGGAGAAATGTATGGCTTCTCTCCACACTGGAGAAATTGGAGCCCGGAGCAGGGGCTCACGCCTGTAACCCCAGCTACTCAGGAGGCTGAAATCTGAGGATCGAGGGTCAAAGCCAGCCCAGGCAGGAAAGACTGTGAGACTCTGATCTCCAGCTAACCACCAGGAAACCAGAAGTGGAGCTGTGGCTCAAACGGTAGAGCGGTAGCCTTGAGCAGGAGCTCAGGGGGAGAAAAAAAGCACTCAGGCCCTGAGTTCAAGCCCCATGACAGACTAAATACATAAGTAAACAAATAGTAAATGAAAAGGAGAAGAGGCACCCCTGCGTGCCTGGCGCACTGTGCATAAAGACCGGAGCGTGAGAGCGTGGGTCTCAACCGCGCCAGGGTGGCCTGGGGCCTTCCCACACGAGTCTCCTGCAGCCCAGGTGTTACTTAGCCTCACTGTACCTCGAATTCTCAGGAGAGGTGGAAGCCACGTGAAAGCAATAGAGTTAGGTGAGGAGGCCTGCCCTGAGGCCACACCCACACTGCTTCCAGGTTTAGGAATGCTCCTTTCACTAGATTTATAGAGATTCCAGGTTTTGAGTCTCCAAGGAGTGACATGCAGTCTCCTCCCTGTGGCCCTGGCACCACTTGGACCAGGGCTGACTTGGCAAAATAGCAGTTTTAACCTGGGGTAGAGAAAGTTACTGTGCTTTCTTACAGTGAGTAGAGGAAGTTCTTGCTCTAAGGGGGTCAGATCTGTAAGTTTCTGACCAAAAAAAGTCTCAATTACTATTCTTGTGTTTTCTTAAGGTGCTTGGCTGGGTCCTGATAGCAGCTGTTATTATCTTCCTTCTGATTTTTCTATCTATCCCCCGATGCCTGTCGCCGGTTAGTTTTCTGCAGCTGAAATTCTGGAAAATCTATTTGGAAAAGGAACAGCAGTTCTTGAAAAGTCAAGCGATGGAGCATGCAACTGAACTGGCAAAAGAAAACACTAGATGTTTCTTTGAGTGTTCCCACCCAAAGAAATACAATACCCCAAGCACAAAAGCTTGGCAGCAGATTTCATTACTGTATACTTTCAATCCCAAGTACCAGTACTATAGCATGTTGCACAAATACGTGAACAGACAAGAGGATAGTAGCAAATTCAGTGATGGAGACACAGTGATCGGTGTCCTTAACTTTGTAGATTCCTCTGTTATAAACAGTTCTGTTTTATGAACTTAGAAATGAATAGAAAACGCGTTTTGAGTTATTGCTTCATTAAAAATATGTTATTTCTAACTGTGTTTTTTTTATCTGGGTTTTGGGATTTTTTTAGGTTAAAAGTTGAAATGTAAAGGTAGTTTATTAGACTAATTATTATAACATAAAACGAAGGGAAAATAACTCACCCAAAGTAGCAAACTTGTGTAGATGCTTTATTTCTTAGGGTTCTTTTGATTCTAGGATCTTTTCTCAAATAATAAATGTTAGGCTTTTAGAATACTTCTTTCTGAAAGTGGAGCTATGGTTCAAGTGGTAGAGCACCAGCCTTGAGTAAAAAAAAGCCAGGCAAGAGTGCAAGAACTTTAGTTTAGTACTGGCATACACACACACACACACACACACACAAAATGCCTTCAAAGCCTAGTTCAGTAGTAAGAAGTGAAAGAGCAACTGAACTTTTGCCATTTTTGTAAAATTAACTGATAGTAATTTGAAGTTCATTTTCTTGCCAACAGCACCCGGTTAGGAACCAAAAAAGTTAAGGTATTTTGGCCTGCTCTGTGCCACAAGAGATGCTATATGGATGCCATACAAAAAAAATCAATTGTGAAAGGAAAATAAAAATATAAATCTTGAAGTTTAGGCAATAGCTCATTTTTAGTTGTAAGAGGAAATATTTCAAAGCTGTTAGGAATGGTAAATTTAAAATATCACAAATGTAAAGAACATCCTATTATGAACCCTCCTTCTAGACATTACACACAGCTTCCACGAGGAAGATCTTTACAATCACCGTTAAAAGTTGCCATATAGATAAATATTAAAATAAAACTTGTGCTCTGGTTTAGATTAAGGAAGGAAGACATTGGAAAACCTGTGAGAAACTGAGATCTATGTAGTAGGGAACAGAGTTTCAGTCCAAAGGAACATCACATGCAAAGATGTCAAAGAGATCTTTAACTTAACATAGTGACAGGTATTGAGGCAACTGGACCAGTAAAGAAGGGTCATATCGCACAGTGCCTTGGAACCAAGCTAAGATTTGGGGGGATGTCCTATCAGCATTTTAAGGTGAGATAGATCCACTTCTTTTTAAAGGAGATTTTAAGGAGATTGATCCACTCTGGGGGAGAGGGGCGGAAAGGGACAGGCAGGGTGAGGGTGGAGGGATTAATCTTGCAGCTATACTGCCGTGGAAATAGGCAGGAGTGAGCATGATCCAGGTTGATGGGGGTCAAAATGAGAAAGGCAGATTTGTGCAAGACATAACAGAAATCATTGACAGCAGGGCTGGAAGCAGTTCCTGAAAACAGTGGTATCGACACACAAAATTCTGTGACCTGGTCCTGTAGGGCTTTTCAGTGACACTACCTTCTTCTAGTTTGTTGTTTTCCTGCCCATCTTCCAAGTTTATGACTGCTTTCTGTGTTTTAAAAAGTGAGGCATGAACACAAAACTGTGAAACAATTGTACATTAATCATATCTAGGCCTTCTTCCGTTCTTGGAGGAACTTTGTGGTGCTTCTATTTGCCTTTTGTGGCACAGGGTCTTTGAAAGGAACTACTCAGCAGAGCTGACTATCCTCTTGTGGAGAGACAGAGCTAATGAAGTTGCCTAACAGAACAGTTTTGAAAAACATACCATCTCTACTTTCCTTTTTGCTTCCTTGTTTTCATTTCACAGTTTCTTTTTTGGTGTTCTTCCATTTCAGGATTTCTGTGGGAACTACCTTCTACGTTTACATTCTCAGTAGTGTCCTGTTATCTACATTTTTGTTGTTTTTCCTAACAGTCTTTAATCATTTATTTACTTATTTAGGTGTGTGTGTGTGTGTGTGTGTGTGTGTGTGTGTGTGTGCACTGATCCTAGGGCTTGAACTCAGGACTTACTACTCTCCTTGAGCCTTTTTGCTCAAGGCTAGTGTTCTACTACTTGAGCCACAGCTCTACTTTTGACTGTTTTAGTGCTTAATTGAAGATAAGAGTCTCGTAGACTTTTCTGCCTAAACTGGACTTAATCCTAAAAAATCTCAGCCTCCAGAATAGCTAGGATTACAGGCATGAAGCCACTGGTTCCCAGCTTCCTTAGTAATTTGTACACAAGATAAATAATCATCATGGTAGAAAGCTGTGTGATAGAAAAAAGTAAGATTAAGTTAACCTGCTGTAATGCTTCCTAGAAGTAACCACGTGCTTGTCTACAGAAATATTATCATACCCAGTTTTGTTCACATGTGTTCATATGACACATAGTTGTTCCTTGTCAACATAATTTACCTCATTGAGAATTGCTGCATAATATTTTACTGGTTCATAAGATATGATCCCCCTCCCCCCATACTACACATTATTTTTTGCCAACACATGTACATAAGTACCAAATTGTCAAATGTGTCACTTTGAAAGCCTAAGTTGGTGCAGGGAGCATATTTTAAATCACATGCGCTTTTTTTTGCCAGTCTTGGGGCTTGAACTCAGGGCCTGAGCATGGTCCTTGAAGTTCTTTTGCTCAAGGCTAGCACTCTACCACTTGAGCCACAGCATCACTTCTGGCTTTTCCTGTTTATGTGG